TATATATATATATATATACGAAATGATATTCAGATTCAACAAAGATTAACAAATGTGTCCAAGATATAGAAGAATATACATATTACATGCAATACAAAATTTATGTGTAAGAAAATTCCCAGTTGAGAGAGATTGAGAAGGCTAGTCTGGACGCTGGAGTATAGCACCGTCTTCCTCACACCGAGACTCTAGGACGCGTGTGAGGGGCCGGGGTCTGAGGACGACGTCGTCGGAGGAGGTGGAGGAGGCAGAGACACTATCGGAAGCTCAACCTTTTCCTGGAGTCCGTTAGCACCGGGGGACGCCTTGGGGGAGTGGCCGGCTCTGTCCTTAGCGGCTCCCTTTTTGTGCTTCGAGTAGTGGGGTGTTTCCCCGACCTGAGGTCCAGGGTAGGACGGTGGCTGGCCCGCAGCCGGCGTGCTGTAGGGCGAGCCGGATGGGTTGTGGTGGGAGGAGGGAGTGGAAGGCCACGGGAACATGTCGGCCGTGGTGGAGATGGCCGGGGCGAAGCTCACCACTCGGCCGCTGTCGCTCACTTCATCTTCCTCCTTCTTCTTGCGCTTCCTGCAGCCGTAGTAGGCCAGGCCCAGCGACACCAGGATCGACAAACCTGCGCCGACACGATAACGTTAGTAGTAAGATATTAATAACGTTACCGTTATTAATTGCCGTCGTCAGAGGGGAATAACAGCTTTCAGCGTTACCCAAGACAATTTAGGGAAGACGTCGGAGAGGTACCTGAAGGCTGCCGACTCATCAAACTATGTGTGACAGCGCTAGGCAGCGAGTCTGCAGTCTTTAGATATCTTCAAGACGTCTTCCCTGAGCTGACGCAAAATTCACGGCAAACTCAAACCCGTTTTCTATACTTTGGAGGCGTATGTAATCAGAAGATAGCACTTTCTACCCTGGAACAAAAATAGTTATATTGATTTCATTTACACATTAGTGGGAATGCATTGTATACATTGGGATCCATACCATGCTACATTGTTATTAAATAAGTGAAGAAGAGTAGAGCGAGAGAGAAAGGAAGATACGAAAACACAGGAAGTTAGAAGTAGCAATACTGAAGAAACACAAACACTCAAGAACAGAGCTAGATTGAAAGAAACACTATAGAAAATAGTGCTTCTATAGAAACACTATAATATATAGAAATGACCACAGCAAGATAGAAGAAAGACTCAAAGAGAAAAAAAAACACACAGCAGAGACTCGAAAAAGGCGCCAAATAAATGAGCTCCAAACTTACAGCCAAACGCCATAAAAATAAGACCGGTGGTCTTATTGGGACCATCGGAGCTGCGCTGGGCTTGACCGAAGCTGTTGGTGAGCACACTGACGCTGGAGAAGAGGAAGGCTCCCCCGAGGATGGCGAGGCTCGCTGATAGTCTAACTACCCACTTCGGCGCCAGCACCATCCCACCTCCCTGGCGCCCAACACACACAGAGCATTAGAGTGCGCACGTCAGTGATATTAAATGAAACACACACACACACACACACACACACACACACGCACGCGCGCGCGCACACACACAAAATCGTTTAAACTAACAACATCTACACTGAATTATATAACGAAGCATGTGCGGGTGGCAAGGGAGAAATATCCGTTCTTTTGATTTCACATTCAATCCCTAAATTAAGACAGTGCAAATATTTAAAGTCATTCTAAAACAGTGAAGGATGACCATATATGAGAAAAGAGCGAAACAGTATGAGAGAAGGAGAAGGAATGATTGGTAGATAGCATAAAGAGGGTCTACTGGAGAAAAATCGGAAGAGCGAGAAAACCCCCAAGAACATATGAATACAGCAAACTGCAAAATGCTTGTAGCCCACAAGAGGCAGTTGCTATTTACAGGAAGATGTGAAAGAAGAAAGAGGGTGGGAGGAGGAAGAAGAGAGAGGAGAAGGAGGAAGAGAAAGAAACACAGGCACAGGTAAAAACGAAGTCTCCAGTGATTTATCCAGAGCAACAAAAGATTTACAAACTTTTCATGTCATGTTTTCCACGTGTCTCAGTTTGGCTCTCTGTGTGTTTTGTTTGTTCCATCATTGACCTTGAGGGTAACTGAGCCATAAAATACATCACCATATATATATATATATATGTCGTACCTAGTAGCCAGAACTCACTTCTCAGCCTACTATTCAAGGCCCGATTTGCCTAATAAGCCAAGTTTTTCTGAATTAATATATTTACTATATTTTTTTTCTTATGAAATGATAAAGCAACCCTTTTCTCTATGTATGAGGTCAATTTTTTTTTATTAGAGTTAAAATTAACGTAGATATATGACCGAACCTAACCAACCCTACCTAACCTAACCTAACCTATATTTATAGGTAAGGTTAGGTTAGGTAGCCAAAAAAAGCTAGGTTAGGTTAGGTTAGGTAGGTTAGGTAGACGAAAAAACATTAATTCATGAAAACTTGGCTTATTAGGCAAATCGGGCCTTGAATAATAGGCTGAGAAGTGCGTTCTGGCTATTAGGTACGACATATATATATATATATATATATATATATATATATATATATATATATATATATATATATATATATATATATATATATTTAGTCGATATATTTACATTGACTAAATATATAGTCGATATGAAGTCGATATATTATGTATATATATATATATATATATATATATATATATATATATATATATATATATATATATATATATGTCGTACCTAGTAGCCAGAACGCACTTCTATGCCTACTATGCAAGGCCCGATTGCCTAATATGCCAAGTTTTCATGAATTAATTGTTTTTCGACAACCTAACCTACCTAACCTAACCTAACTTTTTCGGCTACCTAACCTAACCTAACCTATAAAGATAGGTTAAGTTAGGTTAGGTAGGGTTGGTTAAGTTCGGGCATATATCTACGTTAATTTTAACTCCAATAAAAAAAATTGACCTCATTCATGATGAAATGGGTAGCTTTATCATTTCAAAAGAAAAAAATTAGAGAAAATATATTAATTCAGGAAAACTTGGCTTATTTGGCAAATCGGGCCTTGCATAGTAGGCTGAAAAGTGCGTTCTGGCTACTAGGTACGACATATATATATTATATTATATATATATATATATATATATATATATATATATATATATATATATATATATATATATATATATATATATATATCGACTTCAGAGCGCCATTAAACTGAATGATTAACTTAGCATAAATGGTTCTAAGCTTTCTGGCTTACATGTATGCTGGAAAAGGTGATGTAAAGGATAGCAGCCACTGGTATGTGGAATGGATTGAAAGCTGTTCCTACTGCGTTGAGTGGCGCTTCAGTTGGAACAGCGAACTAGTTAAACCGACTGAACGTGAAACTGAACATTGCGTTGAGTGAAACTTTGTGAAAAGGAGAATGAGTAATACGTAGCGAATGTATACGAATGTCAGGAACGGGTGACAAAGTGACGAATCAGGAAGGAATAGGCGAATTTAGTGACATTTGTATCGGGTGTGAATTAAGGTCAGGAATGAGAGAATGCATACAGGATGCGGAAGGTGTTAAGTGTGTAACACGTAGGGTGTAGAAAGGTGTCCAAATGGAGAGAACACTCACAGTACCTCCTGTCCTTCTTCAGTAGTGGTGCTGTGGGGCACCTCCGGTGTCTGTTGTCGACTCTCTGAAGGTAGGTAAAGTGTTAACATTGTATTACCGTTGATGGAGTTCAGCCTCACGTTAATAATTAAACAACATGTCAGTAAAACAAACACACACACACACACACACACACACACACACACACACACACACACACACACACACACACACCCTATATAAGACCAGCTTTAAAGTGTGCCGCCTCATCTTAAAAAAAAAAAATGGTTTAGAGGTTTGCAACGAGGCTGGTTCTCAGAATTACGAGAGATGGATTAGGATGAACAACTGAAAGAACTAGACCTGACGTCGCTACAAGATAGAATACAGAGATATAAAACACTTAAGGGGGTTTTACAGAGGGGAAAAAAAGATGAGGTGATTACAGTGAATATTAATCTAACAGAAGGACATGAATGGAAACTTGAGAAACAGATGAATAATAGAGAGATGTTAGAAAGTTTTCATATTGCCTAATATAGTAGTAAATAGAATGAAGTAAATAAGGAAGCTGTAGAATAGATTTAACTCCATAATCTCAGAAGTTGATGTGATAGATAAATAGATCAGAAGTCATTAACATTAGCAAACAAGCGGATGGATCCCGCAGGCACAAATAGATGAGTACATATGAGTACAGAAACTTTTTTATGAGGAATTTAATCATATCAGTAGAATAAAAGCTCACAATTATTAAAAAAAAAGTTCTTAGCACAACACACTATAACGGAAACACACAGGAAAATTGAACAAAACTGGAGAACGTTAAGCTATTAACGAGAACATCTATATTGATAACGAACATTAAAATGTTAACATAAGTAATATACATAGGGGGTTAACGAACAGGTAAAGTAACAATGGGGGCAAGAATACGACAAATGCAACGGAAATTGCCAAATTGTAACGTAAAAAGCAGCCACAGTGGCAAAGGGGGAGACAAGAGCCAACACGCTAATACAAGTAGATTTTAACAACAGGGAAACAGACTAGATAAACAAGGACCTCCAATAGAGGCGATGAGACATGGAAAGCAAAACTGGTGGACAAGACGAACAAACACCACTTAACGCAGTATATTACAGAGCCAACAGGAGTTTATAAGGAGACGACCCAGCAGCAGTAGCAGTAGCAGCAGCAGCAGCAGCAGCAGTAGCAGCAGCAGCACTAAACACCTGTGTTTCCCCCCTAATTAAGCAGATGTTTTAAAAACAAACAGAATATTAGATGTCTCAGAGCTTGCGACCACTGACTCCATTATGGTATTTCAGTTCACAGCAGAGCTCCAGGAGTTGGTTAGATCAAGAGACTGTTGAGGAAGACAGCAAATGAGATTATTTTGAAATGATTTCGGGGCTCAACGCCCCCGCAACCCAGTTCCCCGACCAGGACTCCTAGTTGCTAGACTGGTCAACCAGGCTGTTGGACGCGGCTGCTCGCAGCCTGACGTATGTATCACAGCCTGGTTGAACAGTTGTCATTACAGCCTGGTTGATCAGGTATCATCACAGCTTGATATCATGTATCATCGTTTAGAATTCTAAATAAGGATTTAGGCAATCTACGTAACATTTGCTAGACCAATAATGGAATATGCAACACTGATATGGACTCTACACACACACACACACACACACACACACACACACACAAGATTGGTGAAAGAGCTTCGAGACTTAAACTATGAGGATAGGCTAAAGCACTAAATCACACAGCCTTAATTAGAGGATAGAAAAGCAAATAAAATATGATCACAGCATATGTGAATATGGAGCAGACAAGGTGGACAACGACAGCCTCTTTAAATTTAGAGAAAGTAAAACAAGGAGACCCAAGTGGAAGCTGGACATGCAAATGCATCTCTTAGTACGTGTAATCAACAAGTGAAATGTGCTGAAAGAAGTAGTTGTGGAAGCCACCTCCATCCACAATTTTGAGGCCAGATTCGACCAAAAATTCGAACTAAGAAAGTTAAATTATAACGCGACAGGAAAACAAGGTTAATAGGTGGGGCTTAAAGAGCTAGACCTAACTCTTTCATAGTCACCGATAGGTAAATACTACTTATGGGATAACAGTTAAATTAACACCATTAAGGACATAACCAACAGGTATTTTAACACCACTAAGGGCATAACCAACAGGTATATTAACACCATTAAGGACATAACCAACAGGTATATTAACACCACTAAGATCATAACCAACAGGTATTTTAACACCACTAAGGGCATAACCAACAGGTATATTAACACCATTAAGGACATAACCAACAGGTATATTAACACCACTAAGATCATAACCAACAGGTATTTTAACACCACTAAGGACATAACCAACAGGTATATTAACACCACTAAGGACATAACCAACAGGTATATTAACACCACTAAAGACATAACCAACAGGTATATTAACACCACTAAGGACATAAACAACAGGTATATTAACACCACTAAAGACATAACCAACAGGTATATTAACACCACTAGGGACATAACCAACAACAGGTATATTAACACCACTAAGGACATAACCAACAGGTATATTAACACCACTAAGGACATAACCAACAACAGGTATATTAACACCACTAGGGACATAACCAACAACAGGTATATTAACACCACTAAGGACATAACCAACAACAGGTATATTAACACCACTAAGGACATAACCAACAACAGGTATATTAACACCACTAGGGACATAACCAACAACAGGTATATTAACACCACTAGGGACATAACCAACAACAGGTATATTAACACCACTAAGGACATAACCAACACAGTATATTAACACCACTAAGGACATAACCAACAACAGGTATATTAACACCACTAAGGACATAACCAACAGGTATATTAACACCACTAAGGACATAACCAACAACAGGTATATTAACACCACTAAAGACATAACCAACAGGTATATTAACACAAGAAACTCTACACAAATCACAAATAATAAAATAATTTTTCTTACTAATATACGACTGTCTGTTGACATTACTACGAGCTGAAAATATAAGGCAATAATGTTAGTATAATCACTATCTAAACAAATCATATTCACTGTTATTTTATTAGTTCCAACGAGGATTTATTTTACAATTTTATTTGTTAAACAAATGTATACGAAAACCCGCATGTATAAAATTGTATTATTCATATTTTTTTACACTTTCAAAATGCTGGAGGTGTCAAGCAGTTTATAAAACCTTGAATGTTAATGGGAATATTAATAATAATAATGTAAAATGTATAACATGTTGCATAACCTATTTTAAAATAATACAGCCATACCTGGGTAATTGGACCAGAGTGGCAGTGGTTATATTCAATATACTTCTGTGACTCTAACCAGCGCCATGCTTTTAGAATGATGAATAACCATACAGGCATATGTGCCGTTGAATGATCATGCACATGAAGGTAGAGACGTATAATCATTCACAATCAGGTGAAGATGATTATCATTCATATGCAGGTAAGGGAAAAATAAAAATTCACAATCTCGTGAAGGTGAATAAACAAACACACACACACACACACACAATGTACACAAGAAGGTGAAAGTTGTATAATCATACACGCGCAGTTGAACTGAAGAATCATACATCCACAGGTGAAGGTGAATAATCATACTGACGCAGCTGAAGATGAATAATTATACACACGAAAGTGACTGTAAATAAATCATACATACGAATGTGAATGTGTAATCACACACATTAACTGGGAGATGACTAATCACACATTCACTGAGAGAAAAGTAATCATTCACATTCAAGAGAAAATAATTTCCAACGTTACCAGAAAGTGAATGATCATAAACATTCAAAACATTCAGTGTAAAGTTAAATAATCATTCACACTTATGTTTATGCACATTAAAAATAAATTATATATATATATATATTATATAAAGAGAATAATTTTTTAATTCCCTGGGAGATTCTGGAGAACCTCCCAGAGAACTTCGTCGAGTTCTTGTTGGTCAAGTTTTGTACCACCGTGGCTGAGTCGGCTAAGACAGGCGTCTGTGACTCATCAGGTCACAAGTTCAAGTCACTCTATTGTCTCAAAATTATATACATTCTATATATATATAGAATATATATATATATATATATATATATATATATATATATATATATATATATATATATATATATATATATATATAAATATATATAGAATTAATTGGTTTCCCTTTGTGGTATATAACACAAAGGGAAACCAATTTCTAGAACAAATTTTTGTTTTAAAATAAATATTTTAAAAATGGCCATTACATATATATGAAAACCATGAAAGAAAAATTAAACACATGATAATAGATAGTAAAATTATTTTGTAATATTTGTAAATATTTAAAAAAAAAATTCACAGGTTATAAAACGAAAGAATTACATTTTATAATGAAGCAAACTAGCAATACAAAGCAAGGGTATAATAAAACAATCAATAAGCAAATCAAAGAAAACAGAAAAGAACTTTTGCCAAGCAAAAAAATAGTAATACTTACAAAATATTTTAAACGTACCAGTTATTCAGTGGACATTACAACATCAAAAACGGCTTTGTAGAAAACCTTCTTAAGAGATATACATATATATATTATATATATAACTGAAAACTCACACCCCAGAAGTGACTCGAACCCATACTCCCACAACTGGTATGTACAGGGACGCCTTAATCCGCTTGACCATCACGACCGGACATAAGGAAGTGATAGCCGAGGCTATATGAACCACTTCCCCGCCGGCACTCGGATGGTAATCTTGGGCATAGCATTTTATCAAATCACCTCATTCTTTGGGGCACACGTGAGGAACACAAATGCAAACAAGCCTGAATGGTCCCCAGGACTATATAAACTTTTGTGAGTTTTCAGTTGTATATAGTCCTGGGGACCATTCAGGCTTGTTTGCATATTATATATATAAATAACAGAGACTAAGTCAAGTAACGTTGGTGAAGGGAAGTAACCCAACCTCCCTCACACATGAACAATGAAAAGTACGACGTTTTGCACGGGATAAGAGGATAAAGAGTCATCACATAAGGCTCCAGGAGGGACAGAACCTTCGCCACTTAAGTGTCTTGGACGGAACCAAACGTCGCCACTTTCCATTCTTCTCATATGATTAAGGTGTGTTATTAATAAACATTTGGTTTGTAGTCTTAATATATAAGAATATGCAACATTGTACTAAAAACAATTAAGGAAAATTCTCCGTATTAACGAGACTGCTTCCTTGTAAACATACCATACAATTGAGTAAACAGAACCAATTTACGTACAAATAACAATGAGAGAAGAATAACAAGGAATTCCCAATCAGGAAACAACCACACACACACACACACACACACACACACACACACACACACAGTTGCAGGGTGGGTTACTTTGCAACAATGCACGTGCATCAGCTTACTGTTGAAGGACCGTCTGTTTGCATCAGTGCGCGCTGCTGTGAACGATACCAACACATATTAACAAGTGAAACAAAGATAGCCAAGTAGAAATGATATCACATTATAATTCCTAGTGCATACCTGAGTGGACATTATATATATGTATATATATTAGTCACATCGATGATCGTTATCTTTATCTGAAAAGATATCTTGGGTAATTTGTTATATCAGGCATTCAGGCACTGATTTGAAACGAGTCGAAACAGGTTTTCAGAATCGCAGCTTAGGTGTTTAAGATGAGGAGGGAAGGGAGGGAGGGAGAGGGAATAAGGGGGAAAGGGGAGGGCAAAGGGGGAAGGGAGAGTGGGGAAGGGGAAGGAAGGGGCAGGGAGAGTGGGGAGCGAGGGGAAGGTGTCGATTATCACGCAAACCTTAACTAGCAAATGCAAAATATATTCGACTTTGCATTAATACGTGCTCCCTCACGTAATTTATGTCGACACAAGCTACTCAAGTGTTTAGAACGGTTCAGACGAGCGACTACAGTATTGGTAACATGATGCCTGCCCCTCCGTCAAGAAATGACAGCGAACTGACATATCATCAAACAATAGTGAGGACTATTGATTGTGTCAAATTCTCCACATGTAATGATTAGCTAACCAAGGATGATTCGCAATTGCTTCCGAGATAGACAGGCTTTTTCACTACTCCTCTGGTGCTTCGGACTGTGCTTTATATATGATCGATTAATTCATTGTGTCGTGGGACAGACAGCCAGTGGATATATATACATGTTACCCTTATATCGAGTTCCCCCCCAACCTCCCCCCAAAATCAAACTAATGCCCCTCCACAGGATGCAACCCCACCACAAGCTGACTAACTCCCGGGTACCTATTTACTGCTAGGTGAACAGGTGCATTAGGAGGATAGGAAACGCGCCCAACCATTTCTGTCCCGTCCATGGAATGTTATTTGTGATACTGTCACACATATGTATTGGTTATTCGAACAACAGAACAATTTCTCTAGACCTTAAAAATCAAAATTGCCATTAGGCTGAACATTTGTAGTACAATCATGACCACACTGCGACAAAGGATCCCATTAATTATCTTTTTTAAATAATTTGAGGTCTTTATAACCGCCCAATATGTCTAAGCTATGACCTGTTACCAACACGTATTTGTAAACTAAATATATTTGCGAACAAAGGCTGCTTCAGATTTTATGACTGACAGGTGGTTGTTTCACCATGATATATAAGTTGACCAGACCACACACTAGAAGGTGAAGGACGACGACGTTTCGGTCCGTCCTGGACCATTCCCAAGTCGATTGTCTTGGATATATGCTCACAATCGACTTGAGAATGGTCCAGGACGGACCGAAACGTCGTCGTCCCTTCACTGTCTAGTGTGTGTTCTGCTCAACATACTTCAGCCACGTTATTGTGACTCATCGTCTGCCCATGATAAATATATTGCATATTTATTGCATATACATATTGCATATGTGTTTGTTGTCAAGCACAAATATGTTCAGAAAAGCTACAATTTCTCTTCCTTTGTAATATTATGGCTAATTTCCTCGTATTGTCATATTGTGTCTGTCCGTGTGTTGTCTGTCTGTCTCCGTCTGTCTAGTCTATTTCATAGCCAAGAGGGCACCACCAGCCTCTTCCGTCACCTACTCGTCTATCATCACTTTCAATATCAACCTTGCTGATATTCAGTAAGCACAACCACAAACTCACTAACAAATGGCTTCACAGTATTGTATTATATGAATATATCAGGACATTGTATATATATCAGAAGTTTCTAAGTAATGTACCATAATAAAATTTTAGTCTACAACTCTGTACGATCAGCAACAACTAATTCTAAATTAATAGCTGGAGATTAGCAATAACAAATAAATTAACATGCTTAGGGGAAACAGATTAGGGGAAATATTTAACACTTAACAAGGCAATTTAAGGGTGGACACTTCGTGAACATTAAAATGCAACAGTCATCAAATCTGGGATTTACAATGAAGACTTTAGTGTAGATTAGCTAATAAACACCTCTTAGTTCTGGTTTCTAATTTATAATGTAGCATTATATTTAATAACGACAGGTATTTCGTTTTTAATTCTTAAAGTGCCTCCACTGGCTTCTAATACTTAATCATTATGATCATTATCAGTAATCAGTACGTAATTAATATAATTATATAGTATATAATGAAAATTGGCAAGGTCATAAATGATGCTCAATTCTTGAAAAAATACAGTCGAGACAACAATGACTTTTACCATTCTAAAGACATTAACTGGATGTATTATAAAACACTGGAGTCATAACAGATTATTGAAAGTCATCTTAATTTCTTTCCAATGGCGACAAAGCTGATTCCGAAACTTCGCTTAAAGCCATAGTTTGGAAAACATAGCGCTGACAATTAGAGAAGTCACGCATATGGGCAAGGAAGGAAAGTCAATAAGATACATCTAGTTTGTCATATACTTACAGTCTAAATACGCATATGTTTCTATAATTTGCGCAGCCCCTGAATTGAACATAATCTAGGTTCAACGAGCTAGTTCATTTTCAACTCGCAGCAGGTCACACATAACAGGAATCTGATTTCGAAAGGATTAAAATGGCTAGTCAACAGGCTATCTGTTGGTGATAGTAATTCCTTAATAATATCCAGCATCCAACTAGGCGTATCCCTGGTTTCCTTCCTGGTTTTGTTCCATCCTGCCGACCTCCTCTACCATGATACATGTCACTCCGGCTTTAAATGCATTGTGATGCTGGACAGTTCATATTTCTGGCCAAAGTTTGAGAGATCGGCGATAATCGAGCGCCTGGAATAAATGCTTATACGGTTTGTTAAATGATTCACCGTAGACATAAGAGTGTAGTTCGTTTGTGAGTTATTTCTTTAATTAAGTTCTGGTAAGTGCCAGGTAGGAGATGGTGAGGATTTCAAGTATGAACCTCTAAGATACGCCTTTATAACATTTCCTTAATACACAATTTAGCTTGCCAAGATCATTTTGCAGGTTTAAAAATTCACATCCCTTCAAGCCGAGACATTGACTTAAATAACTTTATTTTCGACCAGGTTTCATAATCTTTCAGGTCTCTTTGAAAATAAATAAATTAATATATATATATATATATATATATATATATATATATATATATATATATATATATATATATATATATATATATGCCAACCAAAAATGCCTTAGTACTGCCGATGCGACAGCCAACTCTGTCTATTACCTCTTAACAATAGAAGAAGAATTAGCAAATAATGGGTTAAACACAATTCCTTGTTTGACTTCTTTTGTTAGTGATAACCTTTCAGACAGGACACTGCTCCATTTCACATTTACTGTGCATACCTAATAAGAAATGCACAAGAATCTAGCGATTACAGGACGTACTTTTCTGCATAGCAGCTACCTGAGACGTTTGGTGCATTCAACTTTGTGAAATGCTTTGGTGTCAACTAGAAACAGATTAAGAATAGAGCTGTACTGTGATTACTGAATAGTTGCCACTAAGAAACAAACTGCACATTGCCGTAGCCAGTTGTGTTTGCTAATTGAGACTCACAGGTGCTTTGTCCACCAGTCAGAAAGTCGAATAATATATAATCAAATATTTCGTTAAATGATGTATTTAGTGAAAATAAATTTGGATATCAGAGGAAGACAAATACGCCTGCCAGTGTATATTACAAATGGCTACGTACCATACAGGAGAAAATCTGTAACACATTTAGATAAACATACAGTTTCAGCTTCGTCTGGGGTCAATCTAGCTATTTCCCGACAGGTCAAAGCTTTTGACTTACTGGCTCTGCTAAACAATGTATTTCTAAACAATTAAAAACAGATTACTTAAAGATTGTATGAAGAAATTACGAAGGGAATATATTCTACTATGAAAATTTATCAGGAGTAAAATGGAAATTACGAATGTACAGTTGGGAAACATAAATTACTGAAAATTCTTATAGTTTAATAACTACGAACGAAGTCATTAAACTGTGCGTTAGAGTGACACTGAACATTTTAGGGGAGGAATTCTCACAAAGGGTAAACATATACACATATAATTATGAAATCTTACAGGATATTTAGGGGGAAATAAATCAATAGTTTGCTTACTAGTGAACGACCTCCTGTTAGGATCGGTACGAGGTGCTGAAAAAATACAGCAATATCTGATACATGAAATATATCAGATGTATAAAAAAATATATTCATGTATTAATTACTGTAGGCATTTATAATGGTAAGTAACGGAGAACTTTTTATATTGAAATCAAAATAAAGAGAGAGCTAGAGCTGCTACAGTAAATACACAACGATTCAAATACACAATGAATCAATACACAATAATGATTCAAATTACAGTAAAGTGCAAGAATATATATATTGAGAAGGTAATATTAAAATCCGTAGATTATCTTTCAGTTATAATATATGATTAAATCTCCAATTATGATGATTTTTACCATGAAATGCAACGGATAATGCTACCACTAACTCAATTATATGTCACAACATAGGTACAATAATGTTACATATTATATTTGGAAAAAAAAAATATTTTCCTTTTGATAATATCAAGTATAAACATTTATGCACTGAGAATGCACAGAACACTTTCAAGTCATTTTTACATAGAAGAAAACATATAAATCTAAAAACAATTACTTTACACAGAGAAACGTCAACGAAATATATGTGTGTGACTATGAGTGAGTGAGTGTGTGTGTGTGTGTGTGTGTGTGTGTGTGTGTGTGTGTGTGTGTGTGTGTGTGTGTGTGTGTGTGTGTGTGTGTGTGTGTGTGTAAATCACCAAGAAATTAACACGTGACGAACATTGTGACAATTGAGTTGTTTGCAACGGGAATTAAAATATTCCCACATTGTGTTGGCCGAAAACAGTGATAATATTATATATATATATATATATATATATATATATATATATATATATATATATATATATATATATATATATATATATATGAGAGGTTAACACTGAGAGGTTATAGTACCTGAAAAGGGAAGACATGAATACAACCGGAAGAGAATTGTGAGAGAGAGAGAGAGAGAGAGAGAGAGAGAGAGAGAGAGAGACTCAACACAAACTATGTAACAATATATGTGGTTTAGATAACGTTTTACTTACTATGCAATGACCTGCGGTTTGGGTCACTACGAGATGCTGAAAACAATTTAAAGCAGCAAATTAAATATATGTCTTACTTTTGATTATATGAATTGATTAATTGGTAAATAACAGTATATCCTCGTCGATACAGTTTGTTAGGGTAATAGGTTCAGTAAATGATCCTCTCAAACGCATCAATTCATCGTGTAGATAGTAATTGACCAATGAAAACTAACTTTTGGTCTTAACCAATCACAGCTAACATTAAGTATTAACCAATCACTACTCAATCTAGGTATTAACCAATCACGACTAACATCAGGTATTAACCAATCACAACTGACATTAGGTATTAACCAATCACAACTGACATCAGGTATTAACCAATCACAACTGACATCAGGTATTAACCAATCACAACTGACATCTAGGTATTAACCAATCACAACTCACATTAGGTATTAACCAATCACAACTGACATCAGGTGTTAACCAATCACAACTGACATAGGTATTAACCAATCACAACTGACATTAGGTGTTAACCAATCACAACTGACATCAGGTGTTAACCAATCACAACTGACATCAGGTATTAACCAAACATCAGGTATTAACCAATCACAATCTAGGTATTAACCAATCACAACTCATTTAGGTATTAATCACAATGACATCAGGTATTAACAATCACAACTGACATCAGGTATTAACCAATTACAGCTCACTTAGGTATTAACCAATCACAACTCACTTAGGTATTAACCAATCACACTTCAGGTATTAACCAATCACAGCTCACTTAGGTATTAACCAATCACAGCTCACTTAGGTATTAACCAATCACAGGTCACTAAGGTATTAACCAATCACAAATCGCTTCAACTTTGCCATAAGCAACATGATGATTGAGAAAATTAAACCTGTGTTTTTTAAATGAATAAATTAGTGGTATTGGCTTAGCGAGCATCATTAAGAATCGAGACGTCAATTATTTAAAAATAAAATACAATTTATGATTCAACAACAACAAAGCGAATATATTCAACAGTGAATATATTCACTCAACAGAATGCAGTAGGCAATATATTCACTCAACAGTCGCTAGCAGTGAAAATAGTCAGTCAAGAGTATACAACAGTGAATATAATCAATCAACAGTACCGATCCGTAAATATGGTCACTCAACAGTACACACAAGTCAGTATAGTCACCCAACAGCAGCTATGGTCATTCAACGGTACACAACTGCCTATATCACCACTCAGCAGTAAACAAGAGTCAATATAACCACTCAACAATAAACAAGAGTCAACATAATCACTCAACAGTAAACAAGAGTCAATATAGTCACTCAACAGTAAACAGAGTCAACATAATCACTCAACAGTAAACAAGAGTCAGTATCACCACTCAACAGTAAACAAGAGTCAATATAATCACTCAACAACAGTAAACAAGAGTCAATATAATCACTCAGGAGTAGACAAAGGCAGACACAGTCAGTCATTAGCACACATGACCACATGACCTCCAATCCAACACACACTAGAGAGAACACTAAGTACAGTAAGTCAACGACACCCATATAACAGTGGACACATGCGGACTATGAGGCAATAACAACACATACATGTCGTCACACACATTGTGAGTATAGTGTATGGACACCAAATTCTCTCAAATGAAATTAGAGTTTATATAAAAAAAACGTGGGATACATCTATTTAATTTGCGAGGTGTTGGAAAGTTAATTGAGAATAAGATCCATTTATTACAACTGTGGGGCTAAATGAGGCACATCAAATCTTAGTATAAGAAATTGGAAAATAGGAAAACGTGTATATTATATAACACACATAATTAGAGAATGCTTAACGCGTTTTCGGCTAATTCGCCTTCATGAGAGCAAAGTAGATTGAATTGATTCATTCATTCTACTTTGCTCTGATGAAGGCGAATTAGCCGAAAACGCGTTAAGCATTCTTTATTTTTCACATGTGGTTATTCTGCATAGATATATAATATTATACACGTTATGATATTATTACACGTATATATATATATATATATATATATATATATATATATATATATATATATATATATATATATATATATATATATATATTCACTCATGTTTCTTAATACTGACAAAGAAATTAGGCAGGACCCCTTTTGTAGTTTTACATAATGTTCTATACACAAGTAAAAAAACAATGAGGATAAACAATTAGTGTCTCGTTGTATTCTAAATACCATCAAGAAACCAAACAGGGTACATATATTTTAGTTTCACATGGTTTTCTTTATTCAGGGAAACAGACTACACAGATACTAACCTGGAAACAATAATTATAATACACAGAGATTTGCTTACTGTTGAAAGACCTTCTGTTGGGGTCAGTACGAGGAGCTGAAAGCAGACCAACACGGCGTTAATACACTTTACTGAATGAGATTTTACTGAATGATAGTTTACTGAATACATTTTTCTTATGTTATGCTTCATAATGATTTTGATTATATTGTCGTAAAACTTAATTGAAATATATAAAAGGAAAATGTTAAACTAAAAAGAGTGTAAAGGAGTTTTTAAGAGTTTTAAGTCCATTTACATACACATTATTGTTAGACGTAACTGTATGCATCAAAGATGTTTGGAGACTTCTACTGAAGCCATTCCAAGTTTTACTTCCTGTGGATTCAGTGGAATCCCAAGTTGTGTAACATAGTACCATGTCGTGGTACAGGGGAACAAAGTTCGTGACTGGTAGTACCTTAATCACTGGTTCGAGTCACCCCCATTGTTCCAATTAATTTTCTCTAATATATATCACATTAGTGTGATTTTCTTGTGAAAATAATAAGTATAATAATGAAAATACACAACAATAATTATGATAAAAATACTAATAATTCATTACAATGGTACAACATTAACAAAAATTAACCAATTACATTACTAATAACTAGTTTACTGTATGAAATCCATCACAATTTATGTTATTTCTATATCAAAAATTAGCAGTCACAATCCTTCATGAACTACTCTAATGAAAACAGTATACAAGTAAAATTTGAAAAGAAATTCATATACATATGAAAAAACAAATCAGATTATCTTTAACATGTACTAGCACCTTATTGTAATATCTATGGCAAAACAAAACACAAATTTAACGTCTTCAGCTGTTATAAAATGTTACATTC